ACATCTCTGGTCATTCAAGAGATGCAAATTAAAACAACACTGAGATTCCACCTCAGTCCAGAAAGAATGGCTGCTATCACGAAATCAACCAATAACAAATGCTGGAGGGACTGTGGGTAAAGGCAACCCTTCTCCACTGTTGATGGGAGTGCAGACTGGTGCAACCACTGTGGAAATCAGTATGGAGATACCTCAAAAAACTAAAACTAGAGGTTCCATCTGACACAGCTATACCTTTTCTCAGTATCTTCCCGAAAGAATGAAAAGCAACATATCACAGCGATATATGCACATCCATGTTTATAGCAGCACAGTTTGTAATAGCTAAATTTTGGAAACAGCCTGAATGCCCATCAACTGATGAGTGGATAAAGAAGATGTGGTTTCTTAATACAATGAAGTACTACTCTGCCATAAAGAAGGATGAGCTTCAGACATTTATAGCTAAATGCATGGAACTTGAGACCACAGTCCTAACTGAAATAAATTGGACACACATGCGTAAATACCACATTGTTTCTCTGGTGTGAGAAACTGAATGTGGAAATAATGACTGAGATGTATGATGGATGTTGGGAACTGGGAAGAAAGTGTTCAAATGGGAAGAGGAATAAGGGAGGAGGGAGGAAGAAAGGAAGGGATGTGAAAATAGAAGGAAAAAAATGGAAACAAAGCTTTTGTAAACAAGGAGGGGAGGGGGCTTGGGGGGCAATGGGATAAAACAAAATAAAATTTAGTTTTAAAAAAGAACTATTACAATGAGATGCCATGCAAAAAAACAAAAACAAAAAAAGAAAGTAAATTTATCAATCAGCCAAAAAAATAATAATAATTATGTTGAGTGAGAGAAGAGTACATGCTACATAATCCCACTTACATAAAGTTCTAGAAAATACACACTAATCTACACTGAAAGGAAGTAGATTAGTGGTTGCTGACATGAAAGGAAGGAAACAGGAACAGGAGGGAGGGATAAGACAGGAGGAAGTTGAGAGAGACAATGGGTAGGCTCATTAATGTGATCGTAGGAACAGATCCATGAATGTATACATACGTACGTCAAAAGTCATCAAGTTGTACAAATTAAATATACGCAGGTTTTTGTCTGTCAACTATACCTCAGTAAAGGTACAGGAAAAACAATAATGGGCACCATTTCATGAGCAGCTACTTTGTAGGGAAAAATATAAATTATTAACCTTCACTCCAGGTAGGTGTTATTGAGCCCATTTTACAGATGAGGAATCTGGGTCAGAGAGCCTAGGACTCAGTGGTGGCGAACCTCTGGCACGAGTGCTGCACTGGCTATCTGTATCATTGAAAGCTCTAAAAGGCTCACCATCACTGGCTTAGGTGGTCCTGCAGCTATGGTCAAGTCAGGCTTAAAGTGGGGTCAAATACCTTCCAAGCCGGGGTGCTTTTGTCTGAACTGTGATGCCTCCCCAGGATGGCAAATGCCAGCCGGGAGCCACAGGTGATGGCTCCCTGGCCTAAGCAAGCCCCTGAGGAGGAGGACAAAAGGTCAGGGATACAGAAGATCCCTAGATTCTTGAGATGACACTGTGCCTTCTCCAGCACACATATCCCACCAGCAGTCGGACAGGCTGAGACCAGAAGTGGCTGCGCTGATGCCCAGGCAATCCTCCGTCTTCAGCCAGAGTGGTCTGGCGGACAGACCCTGATCAGCTCCAGTTCCCCAAGGCCTGCCTCCTTTCTGGCCTTCCACTTCCTCTGTGGTAAGCGGTGGAAGCCTCCAAGGGACTCTCATCCCACATCACATGCTCTGCAGAACTGAGCTTGTCCTCAATCTGAAACTGATCAGATGCCTTGGATGAAAAGGATTCCTGATTATCTGGGACAGCGCCCTCAGCAATCCCATCAGCCCTCGCTGCAGAGTTGGGCACCTACCACCACCAGGCAGCACCTTCCCAGGCTGCTCCCGGGATCACTCTGCCTCCTCTCCCTCAGTCCTTCCCCTCTGCATAGATTTTCCAAAGGCCCTGCCCGTGTGCTGCTGTCTCTCACCTCACAGGCTGAACATTTTGAAGTCTGTGCTCAGGAAGCTGGGAACCCCGGGACACAACTCAAGATCACAGAGAGACCGAAGACAGAATTTCTTTCTATCAGGTTCTTGTAGAACACATGGGAGGTGTGTGGTCACAGGAGACCAAGGGAAGACGCCTGAAAGGGAAGGAGAACCTCTGTGCTGCACAGTCTTGGTGTGGGGAAGCTCCTCCCCTTGCCCCTGGCAGATTTGTATGCCCAAGGCTAAGCAAGAATTTCTTACCCAAACAGGCTTGTATATTTAGCTGGGCACACAGTAGGCACTCAGTAAATATCTGCAGAACTGAATGAAATCTTTCTTGCCAGAGGAATAACCTCCTTCCCAACCATGGAGGAAACATAACTATCTCAGTGTGGTCCCCTGCAAAGAGCTCAAAGCCCTAAGGTGAAGAAGCTACCTGTTTCTAACTGGGTAGAAACGGAGGCCCAGAAACACCACACCTCAGCTGCTGGGACGTCAGATGAGCAAGGGGACTCTGCTCTAGACTCTGTGGGTGCTCTCAGCTCCAGTACAGTCTTACACAGCAGGAAAGACAGCCCTCGGGATCTGGAAGAACAGAGCAGCATTCTGCAAAACTCCAATCGCTGTAGACCACAGCTGTTCACTTGGCTTTGGAGACGGAATTGAGTTCCCTGAGGGAAGGCACACTGCCTATTGGAGCTGGACTCGGAACTCCTACAAGGGTGACTACTTGCCATGAAAAGCCCTCACTAGCTCTGAAAAGCTGTAGAGGTCACAAACAGACCTAGCTGACATCTCTGTTGCTTATGAGTGGCAAAATCTTGAGTGAGTCCTACCTGAGACTCAACTGCCACATCTGAGACAGGAGGATGGATACCTTTAGATTGTTGCAGAATTAAAAGAGATAATATGGACCGAACATAGAACTCATGCCCTGGAACCATCATGAGCTCAATCAATGTCCTGCCCATCCCTTGCCTTCCTCATAAACACATCTAAAGTTCTTCAGAATGAGATCTCCTTAAACGGGTCTCCTGAGCTGGGAAACTAAGACCCTGATGAGCAAGAGGACTTAACTCCAAGAAAACTAGAGGGCCCTGAAGTGCAGCAGGACTGTGGCAGCAGATACCACCTGGGAAGGGAAGAGCCAGGGCTAGCACAAGATTATCCACCATGTCCCCTTCCAGGTGGCTACAAAAGCCCCCGCCTGTGGTCCCTTCCTTTCCAGGGCAAAACCTATTTTCAGCACAGGCATGGACCACCACCAGCACCGTGTGATTTGGCTTCTTAAAACAAGGGTGGGGGAACAGGTGACCTCAATAGCTCTCTGCACTTTTATTATTTTCTGAACCTACAATTCTACAAAGATAAACTGGTGCTTTATTGATGTCCCACCCTCTCCTCATCCCCTCTCTTTGAGGAAATAGGCAGGAAGTGCACAGAGGAAAGCAAGAGATTCCGAAAGTAGAAAGAGGAGGGCTGAGGCTGGGACTCCATTATGCTTATTTAATTAGCTCTAATCTGCTTCAACAGCAGGACCTTGAAGAAAGACGCTTTTGTTGAAATTTCACATTTGGCAGGAAGTTCCCCCTCATCATCTCCACCCCAGTAGAGATTGTGAGTCAAAAGCTGATTGCAGTCCTGGCTCTCACATCCAGTACTGCTGAGGCTTCCTTTTCACACTCCTCTGACCAACTTCTTGACTTTTCCAGGAAGGAAATGTGCCCCAGATGTTGGTCAGTAAATGGAGGGTTTTCATCTGCCTTTATGAAAGGATGTCAATAACTCACAGCCCTCCCAAGGAGCAAGAGCCAAAAGGGAGGAAACTCAGCCAACTTCTCCCCATTGAGAAATTAAAGGTCTCCCAATCAGCTAAACCCCTGCAAGGGCAGGGGGCCTCACAGAGTACAAGACACTTTCTTTATCTCAAGGGACTCTCACAGCTGCCTTATGAGATAATAAGGATGGAAATCTCACTCTCATTTATTCATTCAGCTAAGGTTTATTGAGTGTCTATGGAGCACAGGAAAGGAAGCTGAGGGATGCATCGGTGAAGCAATCGCCCGGTGCCTCACAGCATGTGGATGGTGCAGGTGCTAGAACCAGTGGTGTTCTGACGTGATCTGACTCTCCAAACCAGAAAGGTCCTGGCTTGTATATCTGTTCATTTCCACGGCATACATTTTTCCACAATGGTCAAGTTTAAGCTGCCAACAGTTTCTTAATAAAATTCCTGGATATTTAAAAATTGGCTCTGGAGATTTTCCAGACTATAGGCAAGATCCCCTGGGCCCTCCTCGAGCGTCTCTCTGCTGAACCTCTCCACCTTCCTGTAGAAACGATCAACGCCCTGTAGACGGTTAAGTGTAACCATAAGGAAAACTACCCAACAGGAGTAAGATTTCAGAATGTTTTATTTTCTTCCACATGGGCATTTTTCCAAATGTCCTAGGAGAACACATCACCTTTATAATCAGAACATAGCTAGGTAATTAAAATCATTTTTAGTAGGCTTACTGGAATGTTTTGCAATAACTTCCCCGAAATTTTTCTGTTACTCTGTCTCCCTTGGATTGGTGTGTGTATGTGTGTGTGCGCATATGTGCCTGTTTCCCAAGAGCGCAACTGCTTTTGCAGAACAGAGCAGGTGCACTTAAGCCTTCATCTGAATCTCTGTTGTCTTACCTATGGGATAAACTCATTCCCTGTGGAGTTCAGATTTCATCAGCAATTGAGAAAATACAACTCCTTGTCAAGATCCAACAATACCTGCTCTGTCAAATCAAAGCTTGTTTGGCCACCAAGTGACCTCTCCTCCCAGTGGGCTAAGAGGGAAGCAGATGGTCTGGTGGAATCATAAACAACTGCTTCTTCTCTGCTAAGCTTCAGAGGAAGTTTCCATCCGCTCCACCATCTCCACCACCAGAGGCATTTGGATCTCTCTTTCTCCTAGCTGGGACTCAAGGGGTCTTACCTCAGCACTGGGATGAAACCTGGCAGACGGGCTTGAGACAGGCTCAGGAGAGCCGGTTCATTTCAGCTGGGCTCCCAGACACTGGTGGCTCCTCCCTGGGCTGCTCACTGCAGAGATCTGCACAATTGGCTCTACCCTCAACTGCAGGAGGAAGAGAAAGAGCAAAGTTTGGGGCTGAACACCACAAGCACGTATGTTAACACAGGCCAGAGGGTAAGCAACCTTGCTCCTCTTTCCTTTGCTCCTCCCAGCCCTGGTCACTCCAGCCACTTCAGAACCCCTTTCACAATCACATCTCTCCCCTCAAGAAGGAACCAGCCTTCTCCCAGGGCCCAAACTGGCCCCATGTCCACCAATACCCACTCCTTCCGGGGCTGCACGATCTCAGTGAGTTGGAGATGAGGTGAAGCGAAGTGCACAGCAGTCACTGGACCCTGATGCCACTCTGTGTAGTGTTTTAAAAAAGCAAGGTAAGGGCCAGGGATTTAGCTCAGTGGCGCCGGGCCTGCCTTGCAAGCGCAAGGTCCTGAGTTCAATCCCTTGTACCAAAAAAAAAAAAAAAAAAAGCAAGGTAAGAAAACTATACAACTCCAGCCCATGTCTTGCATTCCCACAAGGCTTGCAGATTTGTTGATTCCAATCAACAAACACATCAAACTTGCTCACAATATCCCTCTGACCTATAGTACACTGTGGATGCTGTTAGAAATGTGAGTGCAATTTCCTATTCACTTTGGAAGCACTTTTACCTGAGCCTAGATTTTCAATCTATATATTATTATGATGATTAGACGTCTGAGTAGAAAGCATTTGTTTTAAAAATAATTGTTTTTCTTGTGCCAAAGAAACCTGTGTTCCATCTATCATTTTAGAAAATATAATTAAGTGAATAGAAGGACAAAAGTTACTCATTCTTGCTCTTCCCAAGATAACCAAAGGGAACACACTCCCTGGGTTATTGTTTTGTTTTGCTTTCTGTAGCCTAGATTTGGGGGGGGGGTAGATTTTTTTTTTAATAAAGATGTAGAAAGGAGAGGCATGGCTTAGTGCAAGTCAGTAAGTCGTCTGCAGCTAAGGGCTGCCTACCACGTATGTACCTTGGGTCCCCTACAGTCCACGGATGGCAAGGTCCCCTCTATAGCTGCCCCATAAATTGTACCCAATCCCTAAAGGCTGACATTTAAGTCAGCTCCAGCTCTTTTGTTCTAATTGAAAACAGCATTTGAAACTATGTCTTTGGGGAAAACCCATAATTACTTCCTGAAAACACAGTCTTAGAAACAAAATTTCTGAAAAAAAAAAATTTTTTTTTAAATCAAATTTCTGTGTTCAAGAGCTTCCAGATTTCTCCGATTTGTGCACAGCCCCAGCATGCTGCCGCCAGGACCACTGTAGCATAGACATTCCTCCTGGAAATGGAGAAATATGCACATTCCTCGCTTCCTGAACCCACATCCTCATTCACCCAGTGTGACATTTCTAGTAGAAACGAATGTGGAATTCCAGGCATGGGTCTTGTCGATTTTTAATGCTCACACTCATTTTTCATACTTAACTGCAGTCTCAAATAAGATCCAGAAGGCTAAACTGTGCTCCCCTCATCAAGGTGTGCAGAGAGGGTGCATGAGTAAGAATTGGCAGAGGCCAAAAAATAAGAAAGCCACTGGGGAACAGAGGCAAGGTGGATTCACAAGGGCAGTGTCCAGGTAAAAGACAGAGAAACAAGAGTCGCCCCATGAGAGGGCAGGGGCTGATAGGAGTGAGTCTCAAACTGAAGCTGACAGCCCCACTGGAGGGGTGGAAATGGGAAGGCCTCCAGTGACTCTGGGCAGAATGGAGCAAACAGCAAAGGCATCAGGTGAAGTGGAAAAAGAAAAAGTTGCTTGAAGCCTTGAGCACTTTGCTGCTGTCTATAATTAATGTCAACAAAACACCAGGAGCCAAAGTCACTGTAGGGACAGGAGAGCAGTCAGGTAGGGATTTCTCAAGTTCATGCCAGAGATTTGGATAGATATAGTTACCAGATAGGACCATCCCGGATTGCTTAAGTTACAGCTGGGTGAGTTTTCTAGAGTCTAATGTTTTTTCTATCAAGTGGATTATGCAAACTCCTACAACCCTGCTCCATATTACACATTCACCTCATCAAAGTTCCTCTTGAACGCCCTTTGTCCCCAAGGCCCCCACACACACACTTATGTGCTTCCCTGCAGTGTTCATGCAGCTCCCATTTCATCCAGTCTGTGTCCCCTGACCTTCCTCCCAGTCTCACAAGGGCCACTGGGCTTGACACGTAGGTTTGGTCTCCTGCTTGATCCCATTGCCCTGTCCCCCTCTGCTCTGGCAGTGACTGGGTGGATCTCCTTCCTTCTCTCTTCAGACCCAGAAGATGGCTCTAAGAAAGACAGCAGCTAAATTAGCAGCTGCCAAGGCCTCCCCAATACCCTCCTCCTGCCTCCAGCAAGGTGTCCTTCAGGTGCCAAGGCTACAAGGCACTGATCATAGCCCTGAACCAGGATTCAAAAAGCACACCAAGAACTAAATGACCCAAGAAGTTCAAAACTTGTATCCAGATTGTACACCTTAAGAACTCTGAGGCAGCCCCTTGAGCAGGGGCAAGCTCACGGGCTCTGTTTGAGTCAGACAGTGAGTGAGCCAGCCTGTCCCAGGAGCCAGACACTAGGCCAGGTCCCTAGCTTCAAAAGGCCATCACCACCAGGCATGTGGGAGCCTTAGGGTAAAAGACAGCCTTGTTTCTTTGCTGGACCTATTATTCCACTTTATTTAAGAGGTGAGCAATTGTTCTGATTGTGCTTGGAAGTAGAAGTAAATTAGCTAAGAGCTTTTATAGATCCTTGTACATTGCACATTATTTGTTTCCACCCTCCTCTTCCCTCCCCAGGTTCGTGCTCCTTCTTGAAGTTTCCTCAGTGGGGCCTGGGTTCAACACTATGGGGCTCCTGTCTTAGACTTAACTACAGATGTTCCCTTATATTTTTTACTTTATTTTAGCAATTACCATGTATTAAGTCCTTATGTACTAAATTATACATTTATTTGTCACACAATCCTCGGAGGCAAGGAGTGTTTTCTGCTTTTTCAGATGAGGTGACAAGAGCTTTAGTAATATCCCAGGCCCAGAGCTGCAAAGTGACTAAACTGGAGTTATACACACACACACACACACACACACACACACACACTCCAACCTCCCAAACGCCCTCATTCCCTCAGTGTCAGGATGAAGCTAGGCCAAGAGATCTCCATCAAGAGCTGAAATTGAATTTGAGTCAAACACTGAATACAGGAGACAGTCAGAAGGAGAAATGGTTTCTGACAGAAGGAGAAATGGTATAAGAATTTCTTTTCAGAGAACCAGAAAAAGGAAGCTCTTCTCCCACGGCCATGTGGAAGATGTCCAAGGACAGTGGCCCTGCTCCTTTCGTTGGCTGTGTGGTTAATGTAGCCTCCACAGCAATCCTTCAGTGTTCACTGGCCTTTTAATCAAGCAATACACATATGATTGCTTAAGTCCAGGAGCACTTCGGGGCTTACAGGGAGAACAGGCCCTATCTGCCCCTCCATGTCCTTAATTTCTGCTGCCTGAAGGCAAAAAATTTCAACTCTTTTACCTATTTCTAGAGTTATTCAGTAGATATAAATAGCATGCTAGTATGGCTTTTTTTCAATGTTAGATACTATTCTTTGACTTTCCTATTGTAGAAAGTAAGAAAATAAGCTCTTTTACCACTATCCCATATGATACTTCTCCTCCCCACATTCTCCCAATATAGTTACATCATTTTTTATTATGTCAACACCAGAACTTATATTATTATGACCAGATAAATTACTGCTCGCAGCTGAGCCACGGGATTTATTACAATTAATTCCTTTCATGTTGATTCCTTGGTTGTCATTTCTGGAGTCCATTCTTGCCTCTGATTTGTGTTCTTAATGTTCTGTGTGACACTAATTCAGTCCTCAACTTTTCAACAAAAATGTAAAACTCATGACAAGTCAAATGCTATCATTTTTGTTTGCTTGTTTTTAATTTCATGAAGCTCTATCTTCTAGAACCTTCTGTCCTCCTCCAGTCTGAACTGGAGGGCATTCTGGGCTTAAGCAAAGATCCCATTTACTCTTTTTGTTTATTCCATAGTTTTGAGGAACATATGCATAATAGCTTCCTCAGAAAGATGTGTGGGAGGTAAAATAATTGAGACTTCTCATCCAGACACCATATTCCTCCTGCACATTTGATTAATAATTTGCCTAGATAGAATTGCTCAGTTGGAAATAATATCCTCTTAGAATTTTTTTTTTTTTTTTGGTATAGGGGATCGAACTCGGGTCCTTGCGCTTGCACAAGCAGGCGGTGAAACCACTGAGCTAAATCCCCGGCCCTCTTCTTAGAATGTTAAAGGTATGATTTCATTGTCTTCTAGCTGCTGGTGTTACCCAGAGATATCTCATGTCAATCAGACTTTTATTCTTACATGTAAGCATTAGGGTTTTATTTATTTTTCTGTCTAGAAGCTTTTATTCTGGTGTCTTTTTGTCATTCACAGATCTAGATATTCCAGGGGGGTTTTCAATCTAGAACCTATGTTCTTTGATTCCAATTTCTTTCTTGTATTATTTCTATGATGCTTTACTCCCTTCAGTGTCTCTATTCTCTGTTTCTGTTTAAGTCTTATTTGGATGGGGTTTTTTTCTGGTGTCTGGGATTGAAGTCGGGTCCTGCGCTTGCACAGCAGGCGGCAAAACCACTGAGCTAAATCCCTGCCCTGGATGTTAGACTTCTTGAAATAATTATTTCTTAATTTTTGTTTCATTAACTTTTTTTTCTGTTTACACTTTCTTCAAGTGTTCACAACTTTATATCCCAACACCTATGCTTATATATTTCTGCTATCACACTTTCAATTTCTCAGACTTCTTCCTTCTTTTCTGAGTATTCTTTTGTTGCTTACTTTTCTTATTTGTGTAATCCTTTTCTTGTCTGAGACTAGTAATTAGAGTTTGGTGAAGTTTTCTTCTGTCCCCTATATTACCACTATTTCTTGTGAGTTTCTTTTTATATTGTTACTGATTGTCTCTTTCTGTCTTTCATGCTGCAAATTTCTCTCAGCACCTGG